TGTAGGAGATGGAGGTTATGTGATGCAGCTGGAGCGCCGTGGGTACGTGAAGGCTGGGCACTGGACACCTGAAGCTGCTGTTGAGCATCCTGAAGCAGGTACATACAGCATGTGTTACCTACCCAGGTGGACAATGTATTCCAGTCCCAAAAGTACTAGTACTACTAATACCACAGTGAATAAATACTCTGCCACTGTAACTAAAGTTATCCCATTTTGTAGAGTACAACATTTGCCTCTAGATTGAAGTGGAGAAGATGTATAATGTAGCAGGAAATGTAAAGTACAAGAACCACAAAATTGTATTTAAAATCCATTTTTCTACAACTTTATCTCCCCATTATGTCTTAAGAACTTTTTTATTTGCATATGATGTCTTTGTGTTTTAAATTAAAGCATATTTCTTTGTCTCTCTGTCCGTGCGGCAGCTGCACAGGGAGTTCCTGAGAGCAGGAGCCAACGTGATCCAGACCTTTACCTTCTACTGCAGCGAGGATAAACTGGAGATCAGTGGCAATGTCAAGGGCATCACGGTCAGTACAAAACCTTTTATATCAGACAACAATGAAACCGATATCAATCTGATGGTCCGACTTGCTCTCGTCTGATCCAGGGGGCCCAGATCAACGAGGCAGCCTGTGACATGGCCCGGGAGGTAGCCAATGAGGGGGATGCGTTGGTCGCTGGATCTGTGTCTAAGACTCCCTGCTATCTGAAGAGTCACAGTGAGCCTGAGGTCAAGGCCATCTTTAAGAAACAGATGGATGACTTTGTGAAGAAGAACATTGATTTCTTAATAGTGGAGGTCTGAGCAGCCCCTGTACAACAGACGGTAACGTGTATGAATACAGTGTTTCTTTTCCTGCTCATTGTTTGATAATTGTATGCACATTCCTCCTGTAGTTTGTCGATCATGTGGAGGAGGCGGTGTGGGCAGTGGAGGTGCTGAAGACCAGCGGTAAACCAGTGGGTGCAACACTGTGCATCTCGCCTCACGGAGACCTGGACGGAGTCCCACCTGGAGAGTGTGCTGTCAGGCTGGTCAAAGCAGGTACACTGACCCTCTGGGATGTGGCACTTCAAGATGATAAGTCTTAACACGTTACAGCCCCACCATCTCAATTTGTTTTATGTGTTGACGTGCAGGAGCGGACATTGTCGGGATAAATTGCCACTTGGATCCTCTGACGTGCGTCCGTACGGTGAAGTTGATGAAAGCAGGATTAGACAAAGCTGGACTGAAAGCTCATCTCATGATCCAGCCGCTGGGCTTCCACACACCTGAGTGCAACCTGGGGGGATACACCAGCCTTCCTGAGTACCCCTTTGGTCAGCATTATTATATAATCCTTTTGAGCAGAACAAAAAGAAAACACTCATTCAATAACATTCCATTATTTTACATTAATTTAGTGATGTAATCTATATGTTGTTTTGCACTATACAACAAACTACAAATGTGTTTAAGGAGATCAAAACAGTATGCAATTGTAAAAAAAAGGAGTATGGTGACGATCACTTAAATCTTTCATCCTCTTAAAATATATTAATTTTAAAGACTTTGTGGCCTAAAGCTGTTTTAAAAGTCAGTTGATGACAGCTTCTGTCAGAAACTCATTTTGCTGACGCTGCACAAATGCAGTCAGGCCATCACAGGTGACCAAACAAAACGTTGCCCTGATTACATTTACTGATTTCTTTAGGTTTATTTTTGGAAACATGAACACATGTTTTTGGAAACATGAACACATGTTCAAAACTTAACAAAACATATAACATCTACACGTATTTAGACATTTTCAAGGGAAAGATTAAATGTTATACCTTTAAATACATAATTTACTGCCTAAAAAGACAATCTATACCAATTTGACCAAACCTCTGGAATTAAATAACTCAACCATGAGTGAAGCAAACTGTAAGCAGAGTAATTGGAAACCAAAAGAAGCTGCAGGAGACCGACTTCATGTCTCACCCTTGAAGATATGGGAGCTTGGCCAAGGAGAAAGAGCATGAGAAAAACAGCTGGATAACAGAGATATAGTGTCCACCAGCATCTACCCTAAAGGTCTGGCTTTTCCAGGGTTTTTATATTGCACTAAATGTACTATATCTACCAGATACAGCCATCTTCTGACAGTCTACACAGGTGGCATGAGGACATTGAACCATCAGTAAGTGTTCCTACTGGCACGGACAAGCCAGCAGTATCATCTCTGCTGAATTAAAGCAAAGGGCACCTTAATGTCATCCAATAAGGTCTAAATGCTCTCATAGTATGTTGTTAAGGTGTATGTCTGCTCTCCCTTTTGGACCCTCTGTAACTCACATCTAACAGCTGTTCTCAGTGGGCCACTCTGTTGTGTCTCATAACTTAATGGGAGGAAACTAGAAATCCTACTGTGTGGTGCTTGAAAAGGAAATAAATCAATTATTCCTAATCCCCATGCACTAACGTAGGGTGAGTGTAGAGTGTACAATTTGTGTTAGCTTATTGAACTCCCTGTATACGAAATGTCAAGATCATTATAACAAAATGGTGACATTTTACTCTTCCCTCAGCAATGGAGACCAGAGCAATGACCCGCTGGGACATACATAAATACGCGAGGGAGGCTTACAATGCTGGAATTCGTTATATTGGTGGCTGCTGTGGATTTGAGGCCTACCACATCAGAGCTATAGCAGAAGAGTTGGCCGCAGAGAGAGGATTCCTGCCTCCAGCCTCAGAGAAGCACGGACTGTGGGGAGCTGCTCTGGAGATGCACACTAAACCCTGGGTCAGAGCCAAGTAAGACTGAACAGAAACACAGCTACTGCCTTACAATCAAGCTGCTTCATGTATGTTAAACACAAGGTTTAAAGCAGTGTTTTTTACACATAATTGCTTATGACAGCTGTAGGCAAAATACCAGAGGACATATGCATGCGCATGTTTCTGCTCTGCAAAGGTTTGGATTACAAACATCTAATCTAACAACATTTTTCTTAGGGCTCATCGAGAGTACTGGGAGAACCTGCTCCCTGCTTCTGGACGCCCCTATTGCCCCTCCATGGGCCCGCCAGGTGATGACTATGAAAAACAGCTGGAATCTTAAATACCAACATAATCATTTTTATACGTCAAGAAGGTTTCTTTATTCGTCATAATTCTGTTCAGATTAACCACTTGTTTCATATTAAGAATTTGAATCAACCACATCGTTTAACCATTTACACAGTTCACTCTTTCCAAAGTGGTCAATAAACATGTTTTTCTTACTGATTATTGTTGTAATTTTCTGCAAAGAAATCTAATAAAAACAAAACAAAAATCTCTTTCTCAATCCGTTTTTGTGACACAGAAAAAAATGCTACATAGGCTGTTTGATATTCTATAAGCAAATATATATCAGGTTTATAGTTTATGGGTCCAGCTTACATTACAAAGTATAATGCATTATCCAATTATAATAACTGACCTTTTCTGGAGCAAAACATTCATTATATTGTTCATTAAAAGGTGTTTATGCTTCATCTGTCAATCATTTAATTTGTATATTGCTGTTCTTCTTATTCAACTTAGATAATGGAATTTTTAAGAGTGTACAGTATTTTTTTTTTTTAGATTGATATTCGACTTTTTATGTAGTTTCATTTTGATGACATTTGACCAGACAGTGGGGGGCGTGCTGATTGTCTAGAAGCAAAAGGGGCGGGCCGCTGAGGGATTTTTAAGGTGTGTGATAGCCTCCAGCATCTGACAGTCAGCCACAGCAGGCCTCCACTTACTGATCCACTGGTTTACACTTTCTATCCGGTGTGTGAAGTCCCGACTCATATCAAAGGACCTTGGTCTTATCATTTTTTCAAAGTGCTGCAAGCCAGGAAATTGTTTACTATGGGGAGCAAGAGAAAGGTAAGTAAAATAAACATAAAAACTTCTCTCGCTCCGATTTATTTAGAGAAGTTGGGTAATAACTTGATATCCAACCCGTGTTCGAGGGTGCAATGTGTCGCTCAAAACACCCGATCAAAAAAGTATTTATTCCTGGGAGCAGTTCCCTGCAGAGGTGGGAGAAGTAGCCTACTCAGATCATGTACTTAAGTAAAAGTAGAAGTACCAGAGTGTATGAATACTCTGTTACAAGTAAAAGTCCTGCATTTAAAATGTTATTCAAGTAAAAGTACATCATTATTAGCATCAAACTAAAAGTACCAAAAGTAAAAGTACTTTTTATGCTGATTGGCCCATTTCAGAATAATATGTTATTATATGTTTTGGATTTTGGATTTTAATTATAGTTATTGATGCAGTAAGGTGTTATCAAAGCTGGCAAAGGTGCAGCTAGTTTTAAATAATTTGTAAACTGCACGGTAGCTTTTGAATTTACTCTCTGTGTAACTATTTAAGTGTTGATTATATATATAGTCTGCAAAGTAACTAAAGATGTTCAATTAATGCACTGTAGTAAAAGAACACTATTTACTATTTAGCAAACATTTAAAAAGTAAGTAAAGTATTAACATTGTACTCAAGTACAGTACTTGAGTAAATGTACTTAGTTGTTACTGATTTACTGTAATGCAAAGGGTTAGCATATTTCTAAAATAGACTACTGCATTGAGGATGTTTATCAATGTTTCTAATAATGGATATTTGAATTATTATGGAAAAGCTCAATTTCAGTGAGCTGGAACATAATGTCTGTACATTTGAGTGAGAGAGAAAAGCAGGGCAGCACATTTTGTACATATAACATTCAGATCATATTTACAAAGACACACCTTGTTTGAAGTATTTTTACCAAACCCCTTAGAAATGTGTTATGCGTATTCTGCATTCCTATTTAGGATTGAGGCAGTCTGTATAGATTTTGTAAAAGTAGCCTGTGTGTGTGTGTGTGTGTGCGTGCGTGCGTGCGTGCGCGCGCGCGCGTGTGTGTGTACATTCAGGGTATCTTGGAGCGCCTGGATGCTGGCGAGGTGGTTGTAGGAGACGGAGGTTATGTGATGCAGCTGGAGCGCCGTGGATACGTGAAGGCTGGACACTGGACACCTGAAGCTGCTGTAGAACATCCTGAAGCAGGTAGGCACGTGATCACTGCATAAATAAGGTGCACAAATCCGAGCCTCACTACCAAAAAACGTTCTGATTGAATGGCTCTTTACATAACAAAAGCCAAAAAATAAGCAAATAATGTTTGTAATTTAAATAACGAGTGGTAACGAGTGGTCCCCACATGGGCAATTAACAAACTATCAAAACCTATTGGCACGCAGTGTATTGCTGGTGTGTCCAAGGAAGTGCAATGTTAAGTGTGAAGTTGTTGAAGCTGCAAGTACAAATACTCATGATAATATTTAGTTTTGTTTCTCTGTCAGTGCGGCAGCTGCACAGGGAGTTCCTGAGAGCAGGAGCCAACGTGATCCAGACCTTTACCTTCTACTGCAGCGAGGATAAACTGGAGATCAGTGGCAATGTCAAGGGCATCACGGTCAGTACAAAACCTTTTATATCAGACAACAATGAAACCTAGATCAATCTGATCGTCCGACTTGCTCTCGTCTGATTCAGGGGGCCCAGATCAACGAGGCAGCCTGTGACATGGCCCGGGAGGTAGCCAATGAGGGGGCTGCGTTGGTCGCTGGGGGTGTTTCCCAAACTCCCTGCTATGTGAAGAGTCACAGTGAGCCTGAGGTCAAGGCCATCTTTAAGAAGCAGATGGATAATTTCATGAAGAAGGACATTGATTTCTTTATTGCAGAGGTATGCGGAATAACTGTAGTTATTAACAAGGGAATTAGCTGTGTGTATTGCTTACAACAGGGGTCTCAAACTCAAGGCCCGAGGGCCAAATCCGGCCCACGACTTCATTTTATGTGGCCCCGCAAGAGCTTGCAAAGAATATAATACGTTTATTATACGGTTACATGCCACTTTACAGAAGCAGGTTGCCCATAAACTACATGTCCCACAATTCATCTCGTTTTGTGACATTCTTACTGAAGAGACTTGCAATTATTTGCTTCTGCTTTCAGATGTAGTTCATTTCTAAGTTATTATCCTATCCGATGATAATCCAATTCAGAGGCAATAATGTAATATAATACATCATTTTATATATATATTTATATAGTTACAACCGGCCCTTTGAGTGCAACGTTTATGAGAATGTGGCCCGCGATGAAATTGAGTTTGACACCCCTGGCTTACAATAATCATATTTCTTAAATCTCAACAATGAAAAGGTGGGTGTGTCACATCTAAAAAAACTAACGTTTACAGGTGCTGAGTTAAACCCAGGATTCAGACGAAAAATCCGTATTATAGCTCCCAGGAATTTTATTTTTCGAAGTTTCTTCATCCAGGCAGTCATATCCCCATCACAGGCTAAGCTTGTTGCTCAAGAAGATCTCTGTTAGATCGAAAATGTGTACATTTTGAAGATCTTTTGTCTGATTCTTATCTCAACAATGACTAAAATGACTGCCATTATAGAGACATCAACTAAACCAAAGTAAATATTCTAGGTTTTTTTCGTTGTACATCCTTGTTAAACATCTGCTTCACAAGCTTCTTTCTTGAATCAAAGATTTATTTATTGCATGCGTATTTTTCTCCAGTTTTTTGAACATGTGGAAGAGGCGGTGTGGGCAGTGGAGGTGCTGAAAACCAGCGGCAAAACCATAGGTGCAACACTGTGCATCTCGCCTCACGGAGACATGGACGCAGTCCCACCTGGAGAGTGTGCTGTCAGGCTGGTCAAAGCAGGTACACTGACCCTCTGGGATGTGGCACTTACAGAGGACAAGTCTGACACGTTACAGCTCCCCCATCTTATCTTTTTGATGTGTTGCCGTGCAGGAGCGGACATTGTCGGGATAAATTGCCACTTGGATCCTCTGACGTGCATCCGTACGGTGAAGTTGATGAAAGCAGGATTAGACAAAGCTGGACTGAAAGCTCATCTCATGATCCAGCCGCTGGGCTTCCACACACCTGAGTGCAACCTGGGGGGATACGTCTCCCTGCCTGAGTTCCCCTTTGGTCAGCATTTTTCTTTTGTGTAGGATAAGAAAATAACATAGGTTAGAAAAGTTATTGTTGATCAAATAGAAATAATTGTTTTAAGCATAAACATGTAAGGTATGTGAGTGTAAAGCTCATGCTGTGTGCTACCTTTGGAATTCTTAATATATGCGGTTTGATTGGCCCCTTGTAGACCCCAACACACACACACACACACACACACACACACACACACACACACACACACACACACACACACACACACACACACACACACACACACACACACACACACACACACACACACACACACACACACACACACACACACACACACACACACACACTCAACAACACAGACTATGACACCACTGTTGTAAAATACCACCAATGTGCAATTATATAAAAAAACGAAACAAATAAAGCCTTGACACATATGTGCAATATGTTCCTATATTACTATTACTACTGGCTGCTACTTAGTTAGTTATTCAGTTAGTCCATCCATTACTATAATAAGAATCTTTATGTAACTATGTGCAATAATAATTTGGCTGCTGTAATATACCACACTTCATTCTACAATGTTACACTTATTTTATTTTATAAATACTCCTGCTACTTACTTATCTACCTGATTTTTTATGTTACATACTCTGTGCATGCCTTTTATTTAATAGTGTTCTATTTTTTTTTTGTTTCCCCTTTGTGGGAGGGATAAAGTAATTCTGATTCTGAGAGCATCAATATAACCAAATGCCTGGGCTAATATACATATTTGACTCTCCTCTCAGCACTGGAGACCAGAGCAATGACCCGCTGGGATATGCAGAAATACGCCAGAGAGGCTTACAATGCTGGAATTCGTTATATTGGTGGCTGCTGTGGATTTGAGGCCTACCACATCAGAGCTATAGCGGAAGAGTTGGCCGCAGAGAGAGGATTCCTGCCTCCAGCCTCGGAGAAGCACGGACTGTGGGGAGCTGCTCTGGAGATGCACACTAAGCCCTGGGTCAGAGCCAGGTAAGGCTGAACACAACAGTTGAGGCTCTTTTCAAGTCAAACGTCACTGATTTACAACCAACTAATCTACCAAAATGTATCCTAGGGCTCGACGGGAGTACTGGGAAAACCTTTTGCCTGCTTCTGGACGTCCAAAATGCCCCTCCATGGCCACACCAGCTGATGAATAAGAGGGAAGATCACCAATAGCTCAAACTTAACAACACAATCGCCTGTCTTTATTGTGCAAAATCATGAATGGTAGAATTTGTCTCTGCTGTCTTCTGATCAGATGTGTAAAAATCTGTCTGCTGTTTGCTATGAATGAAAATATTAACACCTTATATATATTGCCTTCATAAGTTGTAAAATATCCTCACAAGTTTGTCCTATTTGTTGTTAGAATGCTGAAATGTGCTATACAATTGTTCATGTTTAATAAAAAAAAATGTTTTTATCATTTTCATTTTAATCAAAGTAATAACATATGCTTTTTCTGTTTGTGATTACCGGCCTCACTAAGGGCAATGCAGACACATTTTAACATTTAGGAAAGCAAAGGGCAAAGTCTTCCTCTCCTGCTGTGCCTCACACATGAATCATTTCACGTGGTAATCATTATGAGCTGTCATTGTAACAGTGAATCAGGGTGAAAGTAAGTGTGGCGGCTCAATCCCCAGTTACGTTTGAGTCGCCGAGAGGCTAAACTTGGCTATAAACTGTGACGCGTTTTCGAAAAGAAAGTCCATAGTGAAGCAAGATAGTTTTAGGATATTTAATAAACAAAATCATAAAAACGATGGACAAAACGGTCAATAGAAAAAATGACAGCACAAGCTCACCCTCTGTCATCCATACTCGACATCAAACAGGTGACTTATATAACCAAACCGCATGTGACAATTACCGGAAGTGCTCAACAAATAAATAAAAGTGACGTAAACAAATAATAATAATACAAATAATGAACTTGGGCTAAGTAGCGTTATGGCACCTACAGTCAGGTTATGTCAGGAGACAGACACCGGCCTCATGAATCTGGGTTAAAAGTCAGGTCAGGTGAGGAGATAGTCACATTACTTTTATTCAGATTTTGCCATAGAAATGTAATAAAAGTTAATATAATAGTTATGATTACGTTAACATTTTGAAATGGTGCCACAACATGTTGTAGCCCTCATTTGTTCCTTCCTTTTTTTTTTGTGATCATATTTTTATTGAGATTAATGCACAACATGTACAACCAAAAGCACAAAAAAAATTTTTTAATTAAATTAACTAAAAGTAAACAAGAAAAATAAAATTAGACAACAGCAATTACTTAAAAAATGTACAAAATGCAGAATAATTAGTCATTTGTTCCTTCCTCCATTTCACAACCCCTCCTCTCCAGGCTTGATGAAAGGTTGTCTAACCTGTTAAACATTTACAAATTATGTAAAAGCAAAGAAGTGCAGGTTGATCGCGGAAAACCAACTGTGTTTATAACACCAAGACTCTCTTATGGGCTTCAGTTTTCTGTTTTGTGGATCAAATATTTTTGACCATAACTTCTGTTAATTCTGAAAACCTGCGTCCAGTCTGAGTTTGATACTAGTTTCAACTTGTTCATGACAATCCATACATACAGTAGTATTTTGTAGACAAATTGTAGTTTGATGATTATGTATTCATTCAGAGCTTTGTCTTTGTAATTGTAATGACATACTGTGGATCACTCTATACTTACCAACAAATGCAGATTCTTCTCAAAATCACGAGGTTCCACCGAGACTTGAACTCGGATCGCTGGATTCAAAGTCCAGAGTGCTAACCATTACACCATGGAACCACATAAATCTGTTGCATAAAATTAATACAATAAAATAAAGGAATAAAAAACATTTAAAATCAAATCAGACACAGAAAAAGAGTAGGAGCTCTCTGGAAGGTTTATTGAGAGAGAGTTCATTAAAATTATGCAATAGCATATTATTTTCAAGCAATGTGTAGAGACCATTAATGTATGAAGTGTTTTTGGTAACATTTTACTTACAGTAGATATATTGAAAATGTACAAAAAGAAGTGAAGGAATTTTGGTAGAACTTTACTTGACAGGGAAATCTTTTTAATGAAGTTATTGTTTGAATATAAAGCTCCATTTATTTCTTCAAAATATGACAGTGAGATTTAACTATAGCTAATTTAGATTTATGAAAGTCAAACTGTTCTAAAATATATTGATGTGGATTAAAAAAAACATTTTCAAAAAATCGTTTTAATTGAGTGACAAGATAAACATCTTTTCCCAGTGAACGGGTATGTGTACATTTACAAAACAGACAGTGGTGTAAAGTAACTAAATATATTTACTCAAGTACTTTACAAAGTCTATTAAATCGAGAGACGATATGAGGATGTAAGAAATTATGTCATTGTGTCATTTCTATATTTAAAGGTCACCTATTATGCAAAATCCACTTTTCATGTCTTTTATACACATTTACATTTTGTTTGTTATGTAAAGAGATTCTGAAAGTTTCAGGAAAATTAAAAAGAAAAAACTTCGAAACAAAACAGTTATCTCGATTGGGAAATTCGGGCTATGAAAATGTCTGAGAGAAGAGCGGTTGTCTTTGAGTCAGAAGGTGGTGGGTTCAATCCCAGCCATGCAGTTATCATGTTGATTTATCCAGTGTGTAGTGTGCTGCTTGTTACATTTGTGCGTTATCTCACTGCTGGAGAAGAGCTTCAAAATCAAAGACCTCAAACCTGTTAGAAATCCCACCCCGTACACTCCTGTTACTGAGTTTTAGGCAGTAGAAAAATATTTAATAGCAACACAATTTTTGACGCTAATAAACATTTATATCTGGCTCTTGAGGGCCCTGAAGTGTACTTCTTACGTCAAATACATCAATAAAAGTAAATCTAAGTTCATGTAATTAGCCCAATATCACAAATTGTACTTTTGTCTCAGGGGGCTTTACAGTTTATACAGAACATGAATACACAGATTTCCGGTGCTGTAAGCTTTTAAAATATGTATTGAAGAGAGAAGAGTCACTGTGTTTCTCCTTGCACTGTGTACAACTTGAGACAAAGCTTCCAAATAAAAGTGTGACGGATCAGAGGAAGTAAAATAAAATATTATAGCAACCCAAAGATATTGTTAAAGACACGTGCATTTGTTGAAACTTTCAGAACAATTGAAAGTACAAATTTTGTTATAAATGTTGCTGTATCCACAGAATACAGGGCTACCAAGCAAAACAACATTATGTGAAACACACACAGACATTAATAAATATATTTATATATACATTAATACATATATTTATTATATACATTAATACAAATATTTATTAATGTCTATATTATTTTATTTTTGTCTTGTATTTATTTATTCCTGTATTTATTGATGTATTCCTGTATTCATTTATTTGTTCTTGTGTTTATTTATTCCTGTATTTATTTCCACATTTATTTTTTTATTTCAATTTTATTCCCATTCTTTCCATTTTTGTATTCCTGTATTTATTCTGTATGTATGCATTTATTTATTTGTTATCTATGTCATGTTCTGTCCTCCATACATGCCCTACTCAAGCTGAGACACTGATGTTGCCTTCAAATGTTCCTCGGACTTACAACCTCCATCTGCTTTTTGCAGTGTTTCGCCAGACTACATGCAGCTTAATTGTAGCTAACCTTTTGTTTAGCCAGTGATGATACCATTTTCTAAACCGGTGTATAGCAAGAAAAAAGGTGAAGGCTATTAGAAATGTATAAAACTGTCGCACTAAACTTTGGTTGCCGTTTCTTGCAAGCTGCATGGAAATTCCGATATTTTTTGCAGCACTTGAAGCCAACGTTATTATTTTGCGTATGTGGTCTTGTTTGGCGAACGATGGAGATGTGATGTTATGAGTTTGGAGACGATGCTAAGCTTTCTGAAGACAGTGCCTTGTCCCAATTATTAATCGCCTCCGTCTGTTGTATGTAAACGAATCGATGCTGGTTTTGGATCCGGCTGGTAGCATACTTTGTGATGAGAAAGGAGGTCTGGAGCCGAGGTATGGAGAATAATGGGGCACAGCTGACGATGTAAACACTGTCGCATGTTATGTGTCACACTCGAGGCTAATATGCTCGCAAAGCTTAGGATACAACTATCGGGTTGCAGGAGGATGAAATAGGAAGTCAGATATCTGAGTTTGAAGCCAGGTGGGCCAGAGATGGGAAGTGACACTGCACTGCTCCAAATTCATCCGCTTGTTGTGCAAAGGAGGATAGCCCTCCAGGCAAAAATATCCTCGGAAGACAAACACTTTTTGGTGGTTTTAACAACGTAAAAAACGGCGTATACTAAGTTGCATCCACAGTACCGACGCAGGTTTAGCTGGATCCAGCATTGTTGTTATTTTTTTGCCCTCACTTTGCAAACATGTCCTTCACAATGGAGGATAATTTCGAGTCGGGCTGGGTAGCTGTCCGCCCGAACGCCTTTGATGATAAGGAAAGGCACAAATTTGTTTTTATTGTTGCATGGAATGAAGTGGAGGACAAATTTGCCATTACGTGTCACAACAGGACGGTGCAGAGGAGAAGCTTTGGTAGGGACCCACTGGCCGAGGCCACTGGCCAGGATGGAGACAAAACAAAATGGCCCGAAAGTCCCACCAGAGATAAAGTCTCCAGGAGTCCAAGCAAAGGAGTCTGCAGCCCTAAAACCAAATCCGTCATGGCACCAACAAGGAGTCCTGTCAAAATCCCTTCAGTCAGTCGTGACAATGAGGTGTTAAAACCTCTCAGAGAGGACCAGCTGCCCCCCTCTCTGGACCTCTTGGATCTAGAGGAGCTGGACAGTCTGAGCCGGGAGGACTGCAGCTGGGCCGGGCTTTTCTCCTTCCAGGACCTGCGGTCGGTCCACCAGCAGCTATGCTCGGTGAACTCGGACCTGGAGCCTTGCCTCCCGGTGTTTCCGGAGGAACCCGCCGGGATGTGGACAGTGCTGTTCGGCATGGCGGAAGTACCCGAGACAGAAACGGATAAGCTTTGCTACAGTTTGCAGAGGTACCTGAGCCACTCACTCGATATCTGTGGATGGAAGATCCTGTCGCAGGTTCTGTTCACGGAAAAAGACGACCCAGATGAGTACTACGAGAGCCTGAGTGAGCTGAGGCAGTCTGGGTACGAAGAGGCACTCAACCGGGCAACAAAACATCTGCAAGAGGTGAGAGTTTTATGTCCATGACTTAATCAGCTTCAAAACATAGACTGAGCATACACTGAAACAACTGAAACGTTAACTTTAATTAAATGTATCATGTCAACAGATTTCACATAACTGTATGAGGTTAGTTGAAAAGCAATACGTTGAACCTAATATTACCTAATAGTATTGCTTTCAACTAAACTCATACAGTTATGGGAAATCTGTTGACATAATACATCTAATTAAAGTCAAAGTTTCATTTATTTCAGGGTGGTTTTTGTCTGCCACTCGGAAGAAGTACTCACATCTTATACTTAAGAAAAAGCAAGTACTATTATAAGTAAAAGTCCTGCAATCAAAATTATACTCAAGTAAAAGTACAACAGTATTACCATCAAAATATACTTAAATTACCAAAAGTAGTAATTAAGCAGATTGGCCCATTTAAGAATAATAACATGTTTTGATCATAATTGTTGATGCATTAGAGTGTTTTCAAAGCTGTTAAAGGTGAATTACTTTTTATGCTGCATGGTTGACCCCAGGTGTAACTAAAGTCTTATTTTAGTGTTGTTTATATTGTATATCATTAAACAAAATCTGCAAAGTAACTTAAGGTATGAAATAATTGAAGTGGGGTAAAAGTACAAAGTAGTAAAAAATGCAATTACTCAAGTAAAGTACAAGAACCAGAAAATTGTCAGAACATTTACAGAAAAATAATTAAGTTCTGGAAGAAAAAGAGGTCACAGTCTGAAACAAGGCATACCACGATCTAACATCCAAAAGCGTTGAGGTGTGACAAAAATAAACAGGCCTTCCCTAATAGCACAGCGGCAAGACAGCTGTGGTATTACCATTTTATTACTATGAAAAAAGTACCTTGAGTTAAAAGAGGACTTGTAAAAAAGTCCTGTGTGGAAAATTATACACTCAGAAAAGCTGCTGTCTTCTGTTTACACAGCTGAAACAGTCAAGTGAACACACACATAAACACATTTCAAGCACTTCTTAAGAATGACCCTGTTGATGCAATGAGAAAAGTCATGGTTTGTGAATGCTCTTAGACAGAGGTGGGGCGTTTAACCAAACATGCATTTCCTAAACCAACCAGTTAGTCTGCCATCTTGAAGTCTTTTCTATTTTACCACCAAAGAATACTGCTTGAAAACACTTCTGATCAAGCATAAATCTCCTTTTCTCCATGGTACAATCCAAGACCAACACATCGCATCCAAAAGGTCTGGGTGATAAGACTTTACCTTGAGGATTGCTGTTTTTAGTGGGCCTTTCTTGGTTACTTATATATTTAAAGACTGTAGTAACATGGTGCCATTTTTAATAATGCAGAGTCACTTGCTTTAATATCAGAATTCATGAATCCCATTCCTTTTTGTGTCATTCTTATACTGTTAATGTCACACCTTGTAGCAGGAAATAAAGAAATACACACAATAGTATGGATAACATGGTTTTAAATCAGCCAGACATGTGTATGGATTTGACAATGATTGATCTTTGATGATCTGTGTTATTGAATATTAAGTCAACCTGTCTTTAAAAAAATATTTTCCAAAAGATGTTAGAATATTAAAAGAAGTTATAAAATAAACACTAACAGACATTTCCGTGAAACCATTCTGTATGTATAACACATAACCAAAGACCAGCGCCAATATTTTACACGATAGACTCAGTTCTGCTTTGTGTCTATGACTTGGCAGAGTGGAGATAAACCAGATACCATACACACTCCTGGTCGGCTCCTTTTACACATCAGCAGCAGATAGTGATTGATTAACTGCTCTTAATATAAACACACATGTTATTGATAGTCACTGGCTCTCACTTTTTGCTGCTAATCAATGGGGTTATATTAATGCAGCCTTGACTCATAGAGCTGGAGAGTGCACGTCCCCTGAGAGACGGTGAGAAAGAGCGTTAATGGAAGAGAGACATTTTAATAACATCACAGTGTTACTCCGGTCCATTACAGTGCATCAAATTCCACTGTTACCTGTATTTACATCATATATATATTATAAATACATTCAATACTGACCAAGATGGATATGCCATTACAGTTGAACCCATTCCCTAATACACACATATTCCTTGTGATTATAATTGTTATTAAGATGGTGAACTTTAAAGATGAATCAGATTTGCAGTGTCAATGGTAAGATATATAACATTTTATAATTATTATTTATACATCAAAATCAGCAATTATTTGGTTTGAATAATTGTGATTGAACAAAATCTAAATATTAACTCTATTTGTCCAAAAAAATTGGAAGTAAAGTATATTTGACATTTTATACTGTTAGTATGTTTACTGTTAGAAAAATATCACTCATACTTCCTGTTACGTACACAGCTACGTAGGGCCTTTGTTATCATGTGCTACTCTGATATTAGAAGAGTACATTCAGTATTTTCCCAACATTTACTATCTTTGCAAAAGTAAGAAGAGTCTATATTAGTCAAGATCTATGTATGATGCTGTGTTTGACCAGAAGTCCAAGGCGTTTCCCCTTTATGCAGTGAGACTGTGAGAACAGCAGAGTCACACACACACACACACACACACACACACACACACACACACACACACACACACACACACACACACACACACACACACACACACACACACACACACACCAAGTAAAGCATACAGAAAAGCAGACACAGGAAACGTTGGCTTACTGCCCTTCCTGAGCAAGTAAAAGTCAAACAGCAGAGCTATCAGTTTCACAAAATGCTCACACAACCATGCCTGTCGCTGTATGTGATATATAGTTTACTAAAGGTGTATTCAACCTGAAAATAGAGGAAGAGCTCCGTACAGAAGTTCACAGAATGTTGTGTGGTATGATCCCACACACACACACACACACACACACACGCACACACACACGCACACACACACACACACACACACACACACACACACACTGGTTTATTGATGCTTTCACTCCATTTGAGGGCTGAGTTAATGGGTATTTCAGTGCTTGCTGGTAGCCTGCAGGATTGCTCAGTCTGCCAAAAATGTGTGTGTATTGATCTTATTCCCAGCAGCAGCAGCAGCAGCAGCAGGGAAGGCCTCTGCCTGCTCAGCCATAGTCTGTGCAAAGCTCCTATTATTTATAGTTACACTAAATATCCTCAGAGGTATCTATTCATTATTGAGTGCCCCTTAAAGATGTTTTTGAGTATGTTCTCCTGGCTTCTGTATACATGTAATGGGTTCACAGACTTTCTGACATGCATTACACTACACAGATAATTACAACAGGTAACAAACAATCACGGTATACACACATGTTACATCAACATTGCAGCCATCTATAGTATGTTAAATGTGTGTTTCACTATTTTTCTATAAACTTGCTTTCCACTGTATTAATATTAGGAATTTTCGTGGGTTTTGTCTTCTTTTGAAACCAGTTTACAACTTTTAATATGGATACTGCAAATGCCTCATTAACAAGGCCTAGCCGAGATTTTAAAAGGAGCTATATATGTTTAACTGTTTTAATATTCTGAAAGTTGTTTGTGTGTTGATGACAATATCATCCTGTGTGTCTTTGTGATGCAGCTGCTGGACAAGCACAAGACCATTGATAGTATGGTGGAGCTGTTGAAGGTTTATGAGGAGGAAGACGAGGCATATGGAGGACTGCTGGAGGCCTCCACCCAGCTGTACCAGTACCTGCTGCAGCCCTTCAGAGACATGAGGGAACTGGCAATGCTACGCAGACAGCAGATCAAGGTAAAAAGTTAAAGTCTGCAGTTTGAATGCACAGTATATACATGTGTGCAGAAGATTGTAAGATGTCTTTCATACTTGTTAGCGGAAATTGTCTTATTAAATCCAGGTTAATACAGAACTTGGGCCCAAATATGCTGACCCAGCAATTTGCAACAACTTATTTGGCTTTTTCACACACACACACACACACACACACACACACACACACACACACACACACACACACACACACACACACACACACACACACACACACACACACACACACACACACACACACACACACACACAAAGGATCTACAAACGTTGGCTAGCTTAACTAACATACTGTTTGTGTGTGTGTGTGTGTGTTTGTGTGTGACTGTGATGTATTGTGAACACATATTTATGAGGGCAGTGAGATGTATCTTATTCCAAAGAGAATATGGAGGCTGGTGAATGGATACATTTTGGAAATTATTATTTTAGTGCTGGTGGCCTATTTATATTTAGCTCAATGACTCACATCAGTAAATGACTGCAGTATCACGTTACTACAGAACATTCACCAATCCAAAAGCAAACATATACATATATTAACAACCTTGGAAACACCTTCCTGTCAGTGTTGTCCTTCTCCACAGTTTTCTGAAACACTTGGGATGTGGCTGTTGGGCGTTGAGTGACATATTGTGAGCTGGAGCGCCATGGATCTCAAATTTCCTGCAGTCTCACAGAGACATGAATAAGTCATGTTGTGTGCGGTCCTATAGGTTTACTGCGAGTTCATGATGACTCCGATACACTGGGATCCGCAGCCATGCAGCAGAGATGAAAAGATGGAGTGGGGGGGCTGAAAAAAAACTAGATTTTATAAAGATAAGTGCAATTACTAAAGCTAATTAAGTCCAAATTACGCAGACTGACCCAACCCAAAATGTGTTAATATTTTGAATCATTTGTGATAAATGATTATTTTCATCCATTTTATTTATTTGAAGGGGATAATTTTTGAAAGAGCCTACAAGAATAACATCTGAACTGCTGGACTATGTGAAACATGTGTTGGTAATCAAATACTACTAGTTGCTATCGTTAAATAAATCAAAACTATTTAATTTGGAGCCAATTTTATTCCAAATACACTATTTGATTCCTTATATTGCCTTTATTTCCCATTTTGCATTGCTTAAGACATCTGCTCTGTTCTGTGGAGTTAGTAGATTTAAGAGTCTAAATAAATGAATGAATATTAAACTTTTTTTTCTTTCAACCAAAGTTGCAAGGTGCTTTACATAAAGACAGAACACATTCTACACATTTAAAGAATGAAATCAACAAAATAAATCCCTTTTAAAACACAGAAAGTAAAACAAATCTTATTAAGTAATTAAATGTGAAACAATCACATAAAAGCATTTCTAAAAAGCACTCCTCTGCCCTGACAGCAAAGGCTCTGTCTCCTTTGTGTTTGCACCTGGACCTTGGAACAACCATGAGAGACGCTTTTGAGGATCTCAGGGTGAGGGAGGGTGAATAAGGCAATAAAAGGTTGGATAAATAGCTCCGACAAGGGCTCTCAGGGCTTTGTAAGTAATCAGTAACAGTGATCTGGTTGATATGGATTGAGGGTAACACTTTATGGTAAGGGTACAGAAATCAGCATGAATTCATGCATGTAGTACTTCATGAACTATCAGTAATGTACAAGGGTTAATAGTATCTCATGCATGACTTAATGCAGGAACAATACCTTAATTAATGCATCAACTCCGGTATCTCAATCATCATGACTTCCGAGTTATTAATGATGTTCATGTCTTCTTCATATAGATCTGCAGTTAAAGTGACAGGCCAAACAACTGATCAGTCACAGCAATTCCAAGTGTTGTAATCATGATTAATTATGTTGTCATTACTTCCTCATGTTTGTGCCCCTTCAAATAAAGTGGTTGACCCGGTCTGTCGGTCACAGCAGTGCATGTCTTCTGTTGAATTCAAAGTGTTGTAATCCTGATTAACTACAAATTAATAATTTGGCGGCTCAGGGGAAACCGAACAGAGAAACTTTTGAAAGAACATCTTGCAGTTATAGAATGGACTTACTGGCTAGGAAACAGGCATAAGAAAGGACCTCTCGGTCGTTGACTGAAGGACATTCGGGTCATGTTTCCCTGATTGAACCACCAAGAGCTCACTGACTTCAGATATGAAGAAGATGGACGTTTCAAGATAGCCCCTGTTCGTGCCTCACATCTATTATCATTACATATGAGTCAGGAGTTTTTTTCTGAAAGATAAATCCCTGATGATCTATAAGTCATTTCAGTGCATTTGATCTGTTGTGGTCAAGTTAAAATCACAAATAATTCCTCAATATAAACATGGTATGATTTACTATTAACTTACTATTGCCATGTATCTGGTGTCTTTGCCGAAAAAGGTTATTGCTTTCTTAATTGACATGATATGTGAAAATGTGATCTTGTTGGCTTTGGATTATAAATTAAAGTTTGTTAATATTATGAATGAGTTATCTTAAATGGTTTGTGAGCTTTAAGATAATACTGTATGATACATAAAAAAAAGTCCTAACTAAATAATTGATAATTGAAATTAAGTCCAAAATTATGATCTAATTTGCATTTGTAATATTGCCAAATACATGATGCCTAAATAGACATAAGGGCTGACTTTATTTGAGGGATCACAAAGATGGTTGATGCATGAGCACCAAATGGTTAATACAGGTGATTTCACATAGGCCATTAATCACATGTTATTTATCAGTGTAAACGACGGAACAGGTCACCACTCTATTTGAAGGGGCACAAACATGATGAAGTAATGACACAATAATGCTTCGTTAATCATGATTACAACACTTGGAATTGCTGTGACTGGTCAGTTGTTCGGCCTGTCACTTTAACTGCAGATCTATATGAAGAACACATGAACATCATTAGTAACTCAGAAGTCATGATGATTGAGATACCTGAGTTGATGCATTAATTAAGGTATTTATCCTGCATTAAGTCATGCATGAATTCATGATGATTCATGTACCCTTACCAAGTGTTACCGATTGAGGTAGCCAGTGTGAGAAAGTGAGGATCGGTGTGATATTGTCATATCTCTAGACTCACTTCACAGTTCAGAAAGCTGCAAAGATAAACCTGCACACTGTACATGTAAGTTTATAGTATGTTATAGAAGTCAGGATAACCTTTACCTCTGAACCACAACATACTTATTAGGTCAAAGTTCAGACCAAATCCTGTCTTCATAGCCCAGTTTGTTGTGTCGAGCTATTTTCCTTTCTGTTGTTATTGTTAGTGCAGTTCTAGTTATAGCTACATTACAGTGCACCCCTGAGAGAGTACCGGAAAAACTCAGGTCCCACCGAGATTTGAACTCGGATCGCTGGATTCAGAGTCCAGAGTGCTAACCATTACACCATGGCACCTTGTACATAGACATGTTGTTGGAGGGAGGATGCGATCCTTGAATGAACTGGTACAACGGGGTCTATTTATAGCCTGTAGTGTCTGTAGGTCCAGCACAGCACGGCTCTCTGTGGCTCTTCATCTGAATTCCTGTACTTGTGCTGGCCCTTTTTTAAATGTTTGTATTCATTTGGCATCATTTTTCACTGTTTCTGTTTTTGAAATACTCTGAGCTACAAATTGTTCTATTGAACTGTAAGAGGGAGCGGTGTAATGTCGTTTTTTCTCACTTTACAACGATATGTCACATCAAAAATACACAAATCTAATGAATAGTTTAAGTGAAAAAGAATGATATGGGGAAAGAGGAAATACTAAGAGAAACAAGATTACAGTATTGTATGAGTTGGAAAACAGTCATTATATATGACAAGTCAAGATGGTCACCGAATACAAAGAAAGGACAGAATTGTTATACCATAGCTTTAAATATTGATAATACACTTTAAAATACAAAGAAAACATATTTGTTATCCTATTGATTAGTCATGAATCCTACACATACACACGAGTTAGCATGTTGAAGAAGAGTATCAGCCTAACCAGTGTTTGGGTCTGTTTGTGCCCTCTAATATTGTGCATTCAGACGGCCAAACAAGGCCATACAGTAAATCTACATCGTTGATAAATGTGTGACTAGTATGTTTCAGACGGCATGTCAACTATATCTCACTAAGATATACAGTAATATAATCATACAATGTGAAGCCAACAGGTCTTAAATTACACTATGTAGGGCAATGCAGGAACAAATCAAAAGAGTGAGCACTGGCAACCAGACAGCAGGAAATTGCAGTGTTAGATGATACTGGTGCGCTGCTGAGTAGTGCAGATCAGTACGGCCAGACTGAGATGCAGCTCTGTAACCTTTGCTGCTAACTTTACTACTAATGCTGCACAGAACACTTCTGTGTTTCCTCTAGGAAACAAGGGAGTTGTCTGCGTAGGGAGAATTAGCAGTATCATACTACAATTATTTTGTATTTCTACAAATAGGTATGTGTGTATACAGCTGGAATATTATGTTTTTTCATAGCTTTTTAGGTGGTTATAAATGGAGAAATTATTAGCAATCTTCCTTCGAATGAAAAATGTGAGAAGGCATTTTCACGGTGTTCAACTGTCTGTACTATTAATTAAAAGGTTCCATCTAAATGGTGATTATGCTGTTTTGAGCAGTTGAAATAGCCTTTTATTAAATCATTGTGTTTGCACAGGTGCATGTGTGTTTGTGAATCACATGGTAAAAATACTGCGTATTGTCATTGCTGGCATGTGTGGGAGTTTGGCTCCCTCTCCAGGCTAGCTTTCTCTGGTGAAGCCATCGAGAAGGACTGCACATTTTGTACCTATATTAAAGGGGCCCTATTATTCTCCTCTTCAGGTTCATATGTGTATTTTGTGCCTCTACTGTGACATGTTTACATGCTTTAATGTTCAAAAAGCCCTTTATTTTCAGCACCTTTTTTCACCCTCTGTCTGAAACCGGAGCCCTGTCTGCTCTGATTGGTTAGCTGGCCGGCTCTGTTGTGATTGGTCAACCGCTTAGAGATTGGGAGAGAAACTCCCTCTGGCGTGAACTTTTAGATTTTAGCCTTTGCAGACCATTTACATGCACACAAACCTTTATAACACATTACAGGAAAGGGGAAACCAGAAAAAAGCATAACAGGGCCTCTTTAATCCTCATAGCATGCCGCCATTTAAGACAGACACTCTTGCACTACAATATGTGTAGGGTAGGTTCACTGTGCTTTCATGTAAATCACAACCAACTGTCTCTTAATTATCACAAACATGTCCTCCTTTTAGTTGACCAACTTTACTGTTGCCCCTTTGTGGCAGTGATGTATGACATTTTGGGGTTCCCACCACCTCTGGAACTAAGTAATGCCACTTTTCCTCTGTTTGTATAAAACGTTGTATCATATATTTCTTCAGAATATATTATTCACCGTTAACATCTCTCTCGCAGTTCTTAACCTTGCTGACAAAAATGTGTTAATTCTCCCTCGTCAGATTTCCTTGGAGAATGACTACCTGGGGCCGAGGCGGATTGAAGCTCTAAAAAAGGAGGACTCTGACTGGCAGAAAAAAGCTCAAGAGGCCGTCCTCAACATACAGGAGTTTACTATAAAATACTTTGAGATCACTGCCAAAGCCCAGAAAGGTACAGTCTACCATCACTGTCACTGTCACTGTCACTGTCACTGTCAATGTCAAGTCAATAAAGCAGCAGACGAATGACTTTGAATAATCCACACACACACACACACACACACACACACACACACACACACACACACACACACACACACACACACACACACACACACACACACACACACACACACACACAGGGGTCTGCTATTGACCTGTGTGTGGCTCTGAACACCAGGGCTAATGTGATTTGGTTTTAATGAGGCAGGACAGACAGCCATGGTTTGACAGGACAGGAAGAAACAAGAACAAGCTATCGATCACAGCGCTCTGCCAGCAGTGTGTCTGTGCGGGGTTACTCCACAACGGGCCCCTGCTTAGCCACGTTTTTCCTCCACTGCCGATTGGTCCATTTATTATCTGACACTTATTAGATCAAACTCTACATAAGTGAGTGGCTTCAAGTACAAACTGGGATCAAAGAGGTTGTAATGTGCACATGTGGCCAATAGATGTCTCCCTTTAAATCATTGTAATAACTTAGTCATCACATTCAAAGAAAAGACAGTGGGTGAAAACAACTCTTGATCGTGTCGGTGACTCACTTTTACCAAAAGAACACCTAACTATAAGATATGTGCAGTGGGGTTAAGTAACTAAGTACATTCACTTAAGTACAATTTTGAGGTCATTGTACTTCACTTGAGTATTTCCATGTTATGTTACTTTGTACTTCTACTCCAGTGCAATTCAGAGGTAAATATTTTACTTTTGGTACTTAAAGTAGATTTTGATGCTAAAACTTTTGTACTTTTACTTGAGTAACATTTTAAATGCTGGACTTTTACTTGTAACAGAGAATTCCTACGCTCTGGTACTTCTACTTTTACTTAAGTACAGGATCTGAGTACTTCTTCCACCTCTGGACATGTTGAGGTCATTTGCCCTTTGTTTGTTTTGTGGACAGGGGTGTATGAGCGTATGAAGGTGGACCAGCGCAAGTTTGGTAAATCCTCTTGGACGGCTGCGGTGGAGCGTATGGAGAGACTCCGCTACTCTGTGGCAAAGGAAACTCTGCAGCTCCAGAGAGCCCGGGAGATCTGCCTGGAGCAGAGGAAGCACACACTACGAGAGGAGGTGTGGAAGGAACACTCAACAACACCATACAAAAAACACATATGCACAGACATAGAGACACGCAGATTTATTTTGTCTAAGTTTTTGTATCTTGTCCCCTCAGATGCAGAGTCTGTGTAGCAGTGAGAACGCCATGGCCCTCTTAGACCACATGGAGACACAGTACTATGAGCGGCAGCTGCAACTGTACGACATCCAGGCGGAGATACTACAGTGTGAAGAGCTGCTTCTCATCGCGCAACTAGACAGCATTCACAGGCAGATTTCTGGTATTTTGGCACATCAAACACAAGAAAAAACAGCATCGAAAACAGACAGTTAAACACACGGACAGGTTGTACTACAAAACAAAAAAATATCATGTTTTGTTGATGATCTAGTTGAGTAAAGTTATTTGAAATGTTTGGTTTAGTCTACTAGATAGCGCCTCCCGCAGAAGAGGAAGAGGATACAAACTACTTACCACGATACTCCTCTCTTTCTTCCTCATTCTTCCATAAAAAGTTCTGTCAAGGGCTTTTGGGGCTTGCCAAATATATTGCTTGCCATCGACAAAATCCTACAGTTCCAGACTGAAAGGTGAAAAAGTTAAAACACTCTCATACATTGTTTTCTTTGCAAGGTTTATGTTGGCTGACACAGAGGCCACTAAGTTACCTCAAATATAATATTACTGTGAGCTTCTCTTGAAAATATACTTTTTCTCATCTTAGAGTCCAGAAGATATTTAAATGAGTATTTTTAGTATGTAAAACATTCCTTACAACACACTACATTTTACAGACTGTTCTGTACTTGTTGGCTGTGCATGAACCTGCCACATGACAGTCTGAATAAATACTCTATGAAGTGTCTTTCAAAAACATGAAACGTGTGTGTGTGTGTGTGTGTGTGTGTGTGTGTGTGTGTGTGTGTGTGTGTGTGTGTGTGTGTGTGTGTGTGTGTGTGTGTGTGTGTGTGTGTGTGTGTATCAGAGCGTCAGGAGGAGGTGGTGTACTATGACACCTTTCAAAGTACAGATGACATAAAGCAGGATGATCCTGCCGAGAGGGAAGAGCTGCGCAGACTTCAGGTCAGCGCTCGACAGCTGGAGGCAAGAAGGGGGCGCATCACTGCCAAGCGCTCCTATCTGAGGAACAAAAAGGTGTGTAAACACTACAGTCACACTTGTTTTCATGACTGAAGTGTATCCTTGATTATACATACTTCTGCTGCACACTATTCCATTTGTAGAATGGAGTGTGTATTCCATTTGATTGGACTTTATAGTTATTCTTGAAAAAGTGTCCTGTTATGTTTTTCTTCTTTACCCGAATCCTATTTATTAAAATAAAATGCATTGCAATTGTAATTGGTTGTGGTATGATGGATGCTGTGTGGATGAGTGTGTTAATGTTTTGTTTTTCTCTCATCTTTCTACAGGAGATCTGTGTATCAAATCACACCCAGAAACAGCAGAAACACCAAGCCCTCCACAAGGACTCCCATCAGGTCTTACAGGTAGATGCTCTATGATTATAATGACTGATATCATATCACTGTACAGTTTTGTTGTTAACTCTCTCCTCCCAACACTTCTACTTTTCCAGTTGGAAGATGAAGAAGAGGAAGACGAGGAGAGGAAGAATAGCAGAGTTAGTCAGGAGAGGCAGAGAACTCTGGACAGACTACGCACTTTCAAGCAGGTATGTGCCCTCCTATAAAAGTAAATGTGTTGTTAGAGCCAGTCTTTTATTTGAATCTTTTTTAAAGGTCAAATATTGTCACCTAATCGTGACCTCTGTAGTCAAGGAAGTATAAAAGACTACCATTCCCAATGCGCTAGTCTCTTAAGAGATGGGCAACCTGTGCGAAAGACGCGGTTGAGACACAGTTTTAACCATTAAGTTACATTATCCTACACAACGTAAAGAAATCAAGACGATCCAAGATGTTCATTATTTTTTTATCTGAGTTTTGTTTTGATTTGTTTGACTATTTGACTATTTTCTTGCTTGAATGTGTTTGGAGCATTTTTAATTTTATTTTGATTGAACGCTAGTCGCACAACATCAACACGTGATCGGGAGCCAAACAAGTCATCACAACTCTCAGCAAAACAAATAAACGAAAGATAACGTGTAAGAACTGTCTGTTTAGGGCATCTAATTGGCTTGATGGAAACAAAGGAAGGAAGTCGCGACATGTGTCAACATTTTTCTTTTTAACCATCTAACTGTTTGTCTTCCGTCTCGCTGTGTCCCCCTCCAGCGGAACCCCGGTCAGGTGATTCTGAAGTCCAGCCGACTGCGCGTCACCAGAAGAAAAGGGCACGGCAGGAGCATGGAGATGAGTAGTGTGTGTGAGAGGGAGGAGCGGGTGCCCTCGGTGTGTGTGCAGGCGCAGGGCCACCCGCTGTGTCTCAGCACCAGCATGCAGACGGACCCCAGCTCCACCCTCACCACCCAGCCCGTCACGGCCCTCACAGCCTCCCTCCCTCCGCTGCCTGTGCACAGTCCTGCAGACTCCTCCTGCTCCGCCTGCTCCCTGTCCTCCCTACTGTCCTCCCCCATGTCCCCTCCTCCTCCCCCTCCACCTCCTCCTCCCCTGCCAACAAAGGAGGAGTTGTCACCGACTGCTAGCCCAGGTCCGCAGAAGGTCAAGGGGAAGATGGGAGCAGCAGAACATCTCTCCCCCCTCGGGCCGTTCATCCCTCGCTTCTTTGACAGCAGCCAACTGTTGAGCGCCCGCAAAAAGCTGAGGAAGACTCCGGAGTTTGACTCTGCCAGCAGAAGAGGTACTGACACCATTTAGCAGCATAGTAGTTTCTATTAGATTACAAACTTACAGTAGCCTATCTTACTTCCTTACTTCCTTACCTCCTTACTTACTTCCTTACTTCCTTACCTCCTTACTTACTTACCTCCTTACTTACTTACTTACCTACTTACTTACTTCCTTACCTCCTTACTTACTTACTTACTTACTTACGTAATTACTTACTTCCTTACCTCCATACTTACTTACTTACTTACCTACTTCCTTACTTCCTTACCTCCTTACTTACTTACTTATCTCCTTACTTACTTACTTACTGATGTCCCTGGACAGATGTTTTAAGGAACCCTAAATACAATTTATTTCAAAATAACAACTATATACACACTGTACAAACATGCAACATGGCTTAAAATACTGAAAATGCTAAAAACAACATATTTTTGTCTTCCTGTATGCAGAGAGCTCGCCCATGGACGAAGTGCTAGCCTCCCTGAAGAGAGGCAGCTTCCATCTTAGGAAGGTCGACCAGCGGGCTCTTCCTCCCTCTACGGACGACGACGAACCCAACACCATCCTGGCTCAGATTCGCAAAGGGGTCAAACTGAAGCGCCGTCCCCAGGACAGAGGAGAAAAGGACCAGGGGGAAGCTGCCGGCTTCCACCGACCCCCTCGACCAGGGAGCATCTATGAGGCCCGCCTGCGGGCCGCATAAAGGGAGGCCTGCGGAGGTCCGACGTCGGATGAGGACGGGGAACGACTCGGTGGGATAGCTAATTGGTCCAAGGCTCGCAGCGCAGAGGGTAGAAAAGCCACCACAGACGCTGCCACCTTCTGGCACTGCACGCACCGCCGTACTGTATAAAGCTGTGTGCCACTGTACACTTAATTAAACAGCTTACTCATTCACACAGCCAGTCACACACACACACACACACACACACAACACACACAGCACCACACACACACACACACACACACACACACACACACACACACACACACACACACACACACACACACACACACACACACACACACACACACACACACACACACACACAGGTACCTACCCAGTGACTATGCCGGGGCCTGAGTCATGCTCAAGATCACCAAATGCTCTAACATTCAACATCATGAAGGACTTCTGTGTTTTTATTACTAAATATGTTACTGTGGTTTTATTTCAGTAATCAGATCATAATGTTGAATAGCCATGTAACTGGCTACTGACTACATTAACTTTTAGAAATTGCAAATAGCACATTTGACACCAAAACAATGCAATGGTAGTTATTTGTGAAAACCTCATAGTGCTGTGAGGTGTTTGATTTTCTTCCACACGCCCCATAGCATTAGAAATGACTGTCACACAAATATGTAAAGGGTATGTTTGATTATTTGTGTGTCATGTGAGGGATTGAAAACAAGAGTCGATGGTGAACTATTACACGATCACGTCTGCTGACACTCTCTACTACTGTTACCAAACCAGTGTACCGTGAAGGAATCACACGACTGTATTCTGCACAGTTGGTTTTTCCTCGTCACATGTGGGTGTGTTAGTGTCCGGCTGTATGATGACCGCTGCTCGTCTAATCTGACATTGCACAAAGACCATAAATCCTTTAGTCCGTCGCACCATTTCCGATCCCCACCCCCGCTTCTGTCCTCTTCCGACCTTCACTACCCCCAATTCTCAGCCCATCTCTGGGTGAGGGAATATATATCGACCCATCTGTTCCACTGCAGCATGCGGCCAGGCTGGTGGGAGATATGGAGGTTCATCATTTGGTGCTGAAACTACCAACGTTTTTGAGCAGAAGCTGGTCACCTAGCGTGGGAGGGGACCGGTTGAAGGGTCCCCTGCAGAGTTAGCGAGGTGGAGGTCGTGCTTAGTGTCAGTCATTGTTGTAAAGTGAGGGCGGACGTGGGTTGGTGGTTTGCGAACTTAGTATGTGGGATAGTCACGGCAGAGCTGAGAAACCGTTTGCACTTGTTTGAATGATGGATGGTCTGGGGGAGGCTGGGTTCTCTCTGCGGGGAGTCACTGTGGGCTGTGGAGCAGGCAGCTGTGATGGATGTGGTTTCGCCTACCATCTTATTCACTTTCTCTCTTCTAATTTATTTTCTCTGCACTCAGTGGGCAGAAGCACACAGTAGGAGGCCTGTTACTCACAGAGCTGGAAGTGAAAACATGCTCATGCACGCATGTACTCACTCACTAACAGCCAACATGTGCACACACGTTTTACTGGCCAAGTGATTTTACAGCTTTTACTTCTACTTTTTTCTTTCCTTAAAATAAGTTTTCAGCACTTTCATGATATATATAGTATGAATTATGTATCACTTTTTATGTACAGTAACAACTTGTTTTATAATCACTGGTGAAACATTGTGTCTGTAGTAGATGTTTTAAACCACTGAACAACATGTATAGAAGTCATGGAAGGTCGGTAAGAGAGGACCATGGGATACTTCAGAGGAATTCACGCTAACATCAAGAAGAAGCAAAGCCATGTGAATTCATCGACTAAGCTCTTAGTCTGAAACACTGTCAGCATGCACTGTGTCAAACAGCTTTCATTTGTGCTTTTGCTCTTGTTCTTGTGTTGAGAGCAGGCGCCAATGTAGAAAAAAGCGACTTGCAAGTATGTGTCACTTCATGCAGCTTGAAAATAGTTCAATGTCGAGGAGTCTTTTATTTTCCTGGCAGAGCTAACCTGAGGCACATCTCTTCTTCTGCTCGTTCATGGTGCTACCATCATGTAGCATGAGACAGAACTAACCCTAACTATTAAATTAAGCTTAGCCTACACTTCACCTGACTTGATGTGACTTTTATCGACCGGGGCCGTTTCCCAAACTATGTTAGCGCAAAGGTTTAAGCTGCTTCACTAAACAATCAGTAACAATGTGCTTTACACTTTTGGGAAACTGGGCTCAGCATGTGACACGTTTGCCGTGAATCACCTATCCATCACCGTACTGATGTTTAACACTGATCTTTGTCTATAAATAACCTCAACACGTGTTTTTCAGCAAACTGTAATTTTACATTTCATTCTATGGCTTCATTTTTATCCTGTTTTTATTGTTTCAGAAAGATTTCCAGCCAAATGTGTGTTTGCTTCTGAGTTTCCTATGCAGACGGGACACATGCTGACAATATGACCCGCTGTCTGAATAAGGCAGTCAGACACTTGACAAGTGCAATATCAAAAAAGAGAAAAATTAAACAAGTGAATGGGGGATAATGGGTTCAGATGAATTGCCTAAAAATAATGGATGTGTTAAAGTTGCAGTTGTTTTAACACAGTAGCATGTAAACATACTATTCCAGGAATATCTCTCAGCCTTTAGTCCTATCGTTTTCATGAATCAAACCTTTCTTTTGTATTGTTATTCACAGCCTTGCCCCTGCATTTGAATAAAACCTTGTAAAGCAAATTATTAGATTGTCTGTTTCATTGTTTAATGATTTGGTAAATATTGTCTTTGTTAAAAAAGCAACAACTGAACAAAAGCGATGTGCAAAAACTGAATTCTGCTGTCACTGTATTTGAATATAAAACATTTCTCATTCACAGAGACCTGGTAGGGCTTTCTTTGTTCGAACCCAACAAAGGATTACATTTGGCTGAAGCACCAACAGGTGTCTCTGCTTGTCACCAACATTTGGTAAATCCTTTCACCTGCAAACACACGAGTCTCACCAATCTGCAAACATCATTAGCCTGAGGTACCTCTTTAATATCATGAGTTCAAAATTACTTTAAATAGTCAAAAATATTGCCAGTCTTCTCATACCTCTAAATACAATAATAATACCTACATTTAAATACCATAAGTTACAAAACAGGAGAATGAAAAGCTTCTTATCCACTACTGTACAAAGGCATTCATTAACAATAGCATTAATATCAAGGTTTTCCATCTCGGTCATTCGACTGTCAAAGTTTAACCAAAAGAAAGAAAAATGGGTAACTTCCTTTACATGGGTCTTATTCCAGTGTATTAACCTGTGTAACTACTTACTATATTTGAAGTACAGAATTATGCTGTGCTAGTATTTAATGCAAATCTCTTGATATATAATGTAGTTACAACAGTGTAATAACATAGTGCAAACAGGGTGCTCAATTAAAAAATACCATAAGCAGCATTTCATGTGAGAATATAGCTTTTTAGAAATGATTTTTGAAGAAAGCGATTTAAAGATGCAGTTTTGGATTTTACCGGTACAGGAGCTGCTTCAGAAGTTTTGGTACACTATGTGTTTACATTGTGTTGTATGCATTTAAAAAATATATTGAAGAGGTTTCATTGTTTACCTACATACTGGATACTCTATAATAGTAACTAAGCAATACTTTTCCGTGGGTTAATACACAACAATAAGCCGTTGCAGGGCGTTACTGCATTTGAGTTATCCATCCATTCATTTACAATGTCATGAGTAGAAAGTTGTCTTATGCAGTTGTATTATATCATCAGTGTTATATATCCTGTGTAAAAAAAAAAGGATAGAAACTGAGTACAGTTCTATATTCACCCGTGAGGAGTGAAAATCTGTGGCCAGCTTCACTGAGGGTGGAGATTTAGGAACACGTGGATGACACTCTGTAAGCCCTTCACGATGTCGTCTTCGACCAGACAGGGCTGCCACACAGGATCGCGGTCAACAGTAGTTCACTTTCTGTCGGACAGGGGGGATCAGCTGAGCTGCGTTTTGACCTATCTGCATGAGTCCACTGAGTAGAGTACCTGATAGAGTTAGATAGAGGTGTCATAAAGAGCCTGTCTGGTATTGCTCAGTGTGTGTGTGTGTGTGTTGTGTGTGTGTGTTGTGTGTGTGTGTGCCTTGATGTCCAAAAAACAGGGCCTTTCTCTCACAGCACAAATCACACACACATATTATATACAAACATGTGTCCACGCATATGTGCTTTGAAGGCACACGTTATGTCGAAGGTCAGGCCTTGTTGGGGAACACACACCACACTGAGTTTGGCAGGAAGACAGGTCAGGTGTAACGGTGGAAGCAGTCTGGATACAATAATTTCTCTAATGTAACATGGGTGCAAGCCCTCTAAAATTTCTGTGTGGCATAAGCAATGCCTCTGGAAGATCCAATAACCATCTATCATGTGGGGTTTTTAAATAGGGTGTGGATATACAGCTGTCATTGCAGGTTAGTAGACCAAACTTCATTTCCCAGCAGCCCTGTGTGTCCTGGCCAATAGGTAAGACTGACGACTTTGTTGAGAGCCGTCCTTTAATTCTCTGTTTCCATTGATGCTCCGCTGGCAGCCCGAGCTCCAACTCTCTGTTTCTCTGTTCAGCACTTCTCTGTACAGTAAGTCACTTTGGAATCAAAGCATCTGCGAGTTAAGAGGACAATATTTTGGGGGGATTTGGCAGCTTTGGCGCAGTTCTCTGAGTCTTAACAGCAATTATTTCCACATGAAGTTCAACATTCCCCTTGGGGGGGCAGTTTAGAGAGGAAGGAAAGGGGCTTGTGTGTGTGTGTGTGTGTGTGTGTGTGTGTGTGTGTGTGTGTGTGTGTGTGTGTGTGTGTGTGTGTGTGAGATGCTGCAAGCTGTGATGCTGCTCTCCCGGTCAAACAGCAGATGGCACTGAGGCACAGATCTTTAGTTTCACTCCTTTTTGAAAGTGTGTGGGTGGGTTTAGGGGGAAGTTGCTGAATGCCAAGACAGGCATCCAAAGAGATCAATACAACCAAGGTCACGCCTACACCAGCCAATCAGAAGGCAGGACGAGGTAGTCCCTGTGTTGTGTCATGAACTACAGGAGTGCCTGCGGTGGCATGGAGTTGATGCCTGCAAGGTAAATCTGGGGATTAGCTGCCCTGTTTGATCAGAATCAGAATTGGGGCAGTGTGGTGTCTCAGTTTGGATGTGTGCGGGGTAAGGAGGAAGTTGGGGCATTGTGGGTAGAATCTGCGTGGGTGAGATGGGGGTTTAAATTATCATATGGCTCTGTCTGTGGAGATGAGGCAGCTCCGCCTCTAGCTGGCCTCCTCTATGAGCCGGGCCAAGGTGTCTCTGAGCTCCGTCAGCTCAAAGATCTTCCCGTCCAGCAGCTCCAGCATCGTCCGCAGGCTCTTCCTGAAGCTCTCCTGCTCCTCCTGGTTCTCCTCCAGCCGCTGCTCGGCCCCCGACAGCTGCTCCTCCAGCACCCGGCTGCGCAGCTCTGTCTCCTGCAGGACCACAGACAGCAGTGTTGGCAGGTTTGTGTAATCAGAGGGGGATCAATCAGCGGTGGAATGTCACTTAGTAAATTTACTCGAGTATTGTACGTTTAAAAGCTAATTTGTGGTACTCACTTTATACTTCTACTATTCACGATTCAAAAATAAATGTTGTTCTTTTTACTGCCCTAAATGTGTACAGTTTTGGCTTCTAATTACTTAACACATGAAGATTTAAAAAAACAAACAAGAGATACACATTTTTTTTATTATACATTAAACTACAAAATAGTTGATATCTGATTGGGAGAAAATAAATTGGCATCAATCAAAAAATTCAGTAATTCTTTAATTTATTTAATTTATTTTGAGGATTGTTTCAAATTTTTTTAAGATTGTTTTGCATTGGGTTCTTTTAGATTCAATACTTCAACTACATGTGGCTGATCATACTAACACATTCTGAAGTAACCCTTTTAAATGCAGGACTTTTACTTTACTTATTTTCACAGTTTGGTGGTAATATTTTTCTTAAGTAAAGGATCTGAATACCACCGTCAATAATACTACTACGATCGAAGGAGGCGTGCTGATAATCATGTGATCAGTAATAGCCCTTTGTATCACTCACCTCAAGTTTCTGGGTTAGGGTGTCTTTTTGCTCCATTAGGTCATTCATGTTTTCCAATTCCTCTTTCAACCTTTCCATTTCCTGGAAGACATAAAAACAGATTTATAGGCTTTGCAGAATACATATAGGGCATTGAACATAGACGTATAGACTTCCCCACACAAATACACACCTCTTCTTTATCCCTTAGCGTGTTCTCCAGCTCCTCTATGGTTTGGTTGAGTTCAGTCTTCTGGGATTTGATCACTGGGGCTTGGTTGCTCTGGCACTCGAGCTCTGTCACCTGAAAGGAACAGATGAAGTACTAAAATGAAGGTCCATGGTGAGAGACGGACTCAACAGAATCCTGATCTTCTATCCCCAACAATAATCTCTCCCCTCATCCTTACTCCACATCATCCCTTCCCAAACATCTGTCCTGTCTGAGTTGAATGAATAAAAGCCAGCGAGCATTCCTTTGCCCCGTCCCTCACCCGTTTGTGTAGTCTCTCGGCCTCCTCCTGGTAGGCAGCCAGCTGTTGTTTCCACTGTTTGACGTTGGCTGTGGACTCCAGAAGAGCTGCCGTTAGCTTGGCATTGTTTCCCTTTAGTGCCTCCAGCTCAGCCTCCCAGTGTTTTGTCATGACGGGGCTGCAGAACAAAGGGATGTTCAGACTGTCACTTTACAATGACGGCACATCAAATGGTTTTTGTTTTCATGCTATAAATGTAAGATGTGTCCGTCTAAAAACTCACAATGGCAGATTCTTCAAAATCAAGCAAGCACTGAATCTGTATTTGTTCACAACAAATCAGAATCAATATTGTTTGTAAGCGAGCATTTATACATTTATAGGATCGAGACCTCCAGTTAGTGGGTCTCTTTGTGGTCTTCTGAGTCTTGCTATGGTTGTGTATTGTCTCTTCGAGTTTGTTTTGTTTCACTGTGTGGTTGTTTGAGTCTCGAAATGCATTTATTTTTGATCATTTTGATTCTCTTGAAAGCTTTTGAGTTTCTTAATGGTCTAATTTAGAACAAGAAGATAGAAGATGGACGTTTATTAATCCCCGAGGGGGGAATTCAGTTTCCAGTCTGTCGTACACACACAT